CAAAAAATAGTAAACAAATTAGTCGAGCTATCCCAAATTGTAATTTAATAATATCTGAAGTAATCCAGCCAGGTCACCTCAGTGGCTGGAATTTTAGTGTTTTTGTGTGAATTGTGCTCCAACAAGCTTGTCCATTGTCCGGTCCTGCCTGTGGTGCATATTTTCCGGATAGCCTACACATGCACAGCCATGCAAACACTCACAACATGCCACTTACAGCCACATAGCATGTGACCAAAAGACAATCACAGCCCGCTGGAATTATTCATCAGTATGGTGACATTACACTATATACAACAAGACTCAAAGATACTTTTGCATGATACATATTGAAATAAGATATAACAGTATAGTGACATTCCACTATATAGGACATTCCACAGAGGTACTGTCACATGATATCATATCAAAATTACAATGGAAAGCCATACAGAATAATGCTTCCCATGAAGTTGGTATTTTTGTGGTTGTTTTGGTATTATGTGACCATATTGTGCAGTATGGTCAAACACAACTGTACCGTTGCCAGGTGATATGGTTCAGAGGAATTATCCTGGGTAGTATGGCTGCAGTGCACCATATCTTTGTGATTGATTTGGTATTATGTGACCATATTATGCAATATGGTAAGGCACAACTGTACTGTTGCCAGGTGGTATGGTTCACCAAAATCATCCTGAACACATGTTTTTGTTTTACCACAAATTTCATATTCATTTGGTGTTTGTGAACTATGTGTCTTTAGTTGTTATTGTTCTGTGAAGAAATCTATGAAAGTTATGTGGCACCACATATGTTGCCACCAAATGCTGTTGAGTGATGGCAACCAATACCAGGTGTAGTTGCAGCACGGTGCACTTACTGAAATATAATATGCTGGTTCAAATTCTCCTGGTCGTTCAGAATTATTGTACAATTTTATTTACTCACATAATATTCTGATATTAACTACTAGCAAGGTCCTGGGTTCAAATCAGTCTTTCACACATTTATTTTATGGGTGAAGTTGTAAATATTTGTATTTACTGATATTTTAGTCACACTTATCACACCACAATGAGTTGACCAAGTAAGTCTATTTCACTGTAGAGTATGATGGTTGTGTGTGTGTAAGATCTGATGATCTTACCTAATCACAACCATGTAGCTATACATATAGGTACTGTACAATATTATGTAAGTACCTCTCACATACTCCCCCAATGAGGCCAAGGCCTCACTCTTGGTATGGCAAAGAGTAGAAAGTTTAAGTGATAGAAGTTTAAGCAATAGAATATATATGTTCATGCAAGGAAGATGAAATGAAGAAAGCTTGTTAGTAATTGAGGGTACTTGTAAGTAAAACATAAGAAAATTTCTATAAGAACATATGAAAATGAAAAGAAATATGTACTGTAGTAATCCATGATGTATGTACAGTATACAAGATTATATACAGAGGAGATAATGTCTAGACATGGGCAAACAATGATTGGACTGTAACATCCCTAAGTGAACGGTGTCATGCACCAAAGTTGATTGGTAGCATGGACAGCTGTCAATAACGAAGCGAATATTCAAAAAGACTCGCCTTTGCGCCACACAGGCACAGTGCCACGTGGAATAGTAATTAATATTGCCCTTTTTGAACTTGTGGCTGATCAGCACCACCTCTATTAGGCAATCCAGTCACGCTCACCTTTGCTTTTCCATCCGGTACTTTCCGCATTTCGGCATTTCGGCAAATTTTCGCGTCGCCACTGGCTACACATTGCATTGCGCCCTCGCTTTTGTCGTTTCCCTTACTCCCCTTCCTTTGCCTAGCCCCACCATGGGCCCCTTCCTCTCCTTTTTATTCTCACCCGACGGTCGTTTCTGGGTCCCCATTTTAGTTCACCTCCTCGTCACCTCCACCCTCCTCCTCCTCATCTTCTTTGCACCCCCACCATTTCTGATGTCACCACTTCCTATCCGCTTCCGTCGCCGATCCGTTGACTACCACGTGCCACTGCTGATATCAGCAAAGCCCCGGCGGCCGGTCCAAATAGGGCAACAGGTCCATCTTCATGACGTCGATCTGCCATCATATACTATCAAAACATCGGTCGCTCGTCTTGCCTGGTTGGAGCGTGGGTGGGTAATTTTTGAGCTGGAGAAGGTTCATCCCCTTGCGTCGCCCATGTTCATCGCTGTCCCATTCACTTGGGTACACTTATCATTTGTCCATCGTCTTCGCTACAGCTACACCTACCACACGCTGCCTGGGACTCACTTGTTCCAAATTGGAACTACTCCTCTCCCTCCCTCGTTTGATCAGGTGGTCCAACACAACCAGTCCATTGGTAAGGCCATGGAACTGTCAGATTTGGACTAGGTGGTGGACCGGTGGCTCCAGTTTCTTTTTTTTCAGCAGAACATTCATTTACAGTGCAATTATTTTTGATTTTTGAATCATTTTTATGGACACATATTTTTTTAGAATGCCTGACTGACAATAAAGGAACTGTGTTGATACTGATAGTGTTTTGCTTTGCCTTTTTTTTACTGCATCTTCCCATGACATCATGATTTTCCTGCTCTCTTTTTGCTATTGGACTTTACTTTATGGCTGTACAAACCTGTGACATTACTCACAGCATTTATTGTTCTATCCCTTTCTTTTCTTTTTTTGACAATCTTATCCTGTACTACCTACGCAGGATTTGTCAGCGTACATTCCTTCCTTCATATTCTTTCTCATTCTTTTTGCACAGCTATACTGTGCATAGCCTACTTCTCTTTTACTATATAAACCCCTGTATTTTACCTTGTAAAAACAACAAGAACTCGAATCCAGACTTCTTCTCTACTCTCAAGTTCACTACTCTGCTACTTGTGATCCAGTGTGGTCACAACACTTCCCACTTCTACCACTGTTAACTGCTGTCATCGTCACTCGTCACTTTTTGAAAGTGATTGTCATCCCCTTCGATTAGAGTTCTTCTGAGCACTACAGTTTGTGCGTCAGGAGCCTGCTATCACTGGGAACCTCGTCACCTCGTCATCCTTGTTGTTCTCAAACCTACCTTGTGCTACGATTAGCAAGGTAGTGCTCGTCTATACTCGTCACCAAGCCCCTTATCCTTCTATAAATTCAACTATCCCTCCTCCTCAAAACCCACACTCATACACCTCTGGGTTTTACTTTGAAGGATCTTTATACGTACCACCCCACGAACAACCAGACCACTCCACTGTTCTAGGAGGCAAAGCCCATAAACAAGTTCCGTGGAATCTGGGAGGATTGTGTGTTAGTTTGTTTTGTGTGTGGTTTTCTAACTGCAGTTCTCATCATCGACAATTGGAGCCCACCGCGAGGGGTGGTTTCCTTCAAGCTAAATACCAACCATTTCATCGCCATCACTGTCTAATTTATCATCTACACCTTCTCTCTCACCCACCGCTTTATCTGTCCCATCCCTCTCTTCCAGTAACTCAATTTCTGTACCAGCTTCTACTCAGCAAGCTTCGCATTTACCCCCTATACTTTTCACTATGAATCAACCTACTACTCTCTCAGTCATCACTATGCCAATTCCTGGCACTCGTTATGCTCCTAAGAAGTTCAAGGGAGACTATACTCGTGTCAGGGATTTTGTTCTCCACTATGAGCGCATCTGTCATGCAAACAATGTCACTGCTGACGATGAAAAATGCTCAAGCATTCTCCAATACTGCTCCACATATGTTCGTGAAATTATTGAAGGAATGAAGCACTTCATTACGCCCTCATGGAACAGTCTCAAAGACGAAATTCTCCAGTACTTTGATGCTGCAAAAGCAGAGGCCAAATTTAAAGAGCATCATCTTAAACAGCTGGTCGATGCTTCGCACAAGAAGAAAATGGGCTCTCTGGACGATTTCAAGAGCTACATGAGGAAGTATGTTCGTGTTGGAGGATGGCTTCTTGCCAAATCCAAAATCACTCAGGATGTATTCAATTGCTTCTTCTGGAAAGGACTTCCCAAAACCCTTCGTCATCGCGTTGAAAACAGACTTCTACAGAGGGATCCTACCCTTGATCTCTCTCAGCCTTTTGTCTTTGATGATGTTGTCAAGGCTGTAGAGCATGTCCTTCGCAGAGATCGCTTTGATGATGAAGATTTTGACTCTGATGATTCGGATTCAGACTCGGATTCAGAAAACTCTTCCAGTTCTTCGGACGATTCTTCTGACTCTGACAAAGAGGAAGAACCACCTCGTTATATCAGGAAAACCACCAAGCAGAAGAAAGACAAAAAGCGCACCTCTGAGACAGAGAAAGAGAGAAAGTTGTTGAGTCCTTCCAAGTCGAAGAAAACCCTTCACTCTTTAGACGAAGAAGAGCACACTGCTGTCAAACAGGATGAAGTAGAAACCCTTATCAAGAAGTTGGGTTCTATGACAATTGAAGATCCTAACTATCCTCTGCTCTACTATCGTGCTATCAAGCTTGACACTGATGCTCGACTTATACTTCGCCCTCCCACTTTCATGAACCAGTCAGCTAGACCATCTCGATCCTCTCAAGGAAGCAGCAACTTACCCACTCAGCCTACTGCTCCACCCACTGCCACTCTGCCTACAGCACCTCGTGTTCCCTTCCTTTGCTATGGATGC